TTGTCTGCCTAACAGGAGGCGACAGGGAGCCTGATGCCTAATAATGTCTACCATCTCGCTCAGGGATTAGACACAGCAACAAGGAAGAGAGACAGGTGGTGAGGGGAGAGGAATCTCCAGGAGCTTACACAAGCTTTGTTCTGTGAATGGGGGAAGCCATTACAGACTGCGACCAATTACAGCTTCTCAAGGCAAACACCCAAGACATATTTCTGTATTGGAGCTGCTAACTCTTTCCATTAGCATGCACAAGGACATGTAAATTCCACGTTTTCATGCTGATTCAATTTGTGTTCATCATGCACAGTATGGCACCACTCATCAATGCAACACCAACTCTTGTGTTTCTAACTAGACTGTTCATATGGGTCTAACTTTAACTGCATTATCATGGATTGATCAGGTATCTATTCCAAAAATAAAAAAGCAGTAGTCCTAATGTAAATAATATACTGTCTGGTAGTTTAATCCGTAACAATGCTTCTTATTTTATAAACTGATCACATGTTTTCTATAGATTTAGAATTGCAAAGTAACTTGTACTTACTGCTGTCAAAAGAAATGTAGTGAGTGGAATAGAATTATAAAGTAGCATACAATTGGAATACTCAAGTAAATTAGAAGTAACTCAAGCTTGTACTCAAGAAAAGTACTTTCATGAATGTACTTTGTTACATTATTTTTGTATGTCTTGTAATGTTAGTTTGTGCAGCCAGGTAAGAGATATGCGCAAAAGTAAGCACAGACAGCTATAAGTATATTTGTCGAGCTTTTCTTCAGGTTACAATGTGATATAAACTTATTATTTCAACACTAACCAAGAAAAGGAATAAATATGAGTAGGGAAAGAAAATCATTTTCAATCAGGAGCGTGTTCATGGGAATTTTTGACGAGAAGGCCTGGCTCGCAGTCTCCATCCTAATTCATCCCAAAGATGTTCTATCGGGTTGAAGTCAGACTGTTTCCACAAAGTTGGGAGCATGAAATTGTCCAAAATGTCTTTGTATGCTGAATCATTAACAGTTCCTTTCACTGGAACTAAAAACTGAAAAACAACTACTACTGAACTACTGAAGCCTTGGTTATTGATTTTAACTTCTGAAAAACAATCCCACACCATAACCCCCCCTCCACCAAACTTTACACTTCCCACAAAGCAGTCAGGAAAGTACCATTCTCCTTGCAACCGCCAAACCCAGACTCGTCCATCGGATTGCCAGACAGTCACTCCAGAGAACATTCTCCACTGCTCTAGTGTCCATTGGCGGTGTGCTTTACACCACTGCATCTGACGTTTTGCACTTGGTGATGCAAAGCTTGGATGCTGCTGCTCGGCCATGGAAAGCCATTCCATGAAGCTCTCTGCGCACTGTTCTTGAGCTAATCTGAAGGCCACACGGCGTTTGGAGGTCTGTAGCTATTGACTGCAGAAAGCTGGCGACTTCTGCTCACTGTGCTCCTAATCATGCGCTGACCCTGCTCTGTGATTTTATGTGGCCTACCACTTCATGGCTGAGTTTCTGTTGTTCCCAGTCACTTCCACTTTGTTATAAGACCACTAACAGTTGACTAAGGAAATTTCACAAATGGACTTATTGCACAGGTGGCAAGCTATCACGCTTGAATTCACTGAGCTCCTGAGAGCGACCCATTCTTTCACAAATGTTTGTAGAAGCAGTCTGCAGCCTAGGCGCTTGATTTTATACACCTGTGGCCATGGAAGGGATTGGAACGCCTTAATTTAATGATTCGGAGGGGTGTCCTAAAACTTTTGGAAATATAGTGTATTTCAAGAAGAGGGAGGAGCAAAGGTTGAAGTATAAGAGTGGAGAAACCACAGGTGGACTACGTGTTATGCAGGAGGGGCCACCTGAAGAGATTGGAGACAGCAAGGTGGTGGCAGGGGAGAAAGTAGCTAGGCAGCACCCGATGGTGATCTGTAGGATGACTTTGGAGAGCAAGAAGAGGAGGAGAGTGAAGGCAGAGCTAAGGACCAGATGGTGGAAGTTGAAGAAAGAAGACTGTTGAGCGGAGTTCAGGAAGGAGTTAAGACAGGTATAGAGTAAAGAAGACAAGGAAACTTGGTGGTGGAATGACGAAATACAGGAAAGTAAACAACAGAGTTTGGCAAGTGAGTCAGAGAGATGAAGAAAGTAGACAGGAGTACAAGGAGATGCAGCATTAGGCAAAGAGAGGTGGCAACGGCTAAGCACGGTGTATGGCGAGTTGTGTGAGATACTGGACACTAAGGAAGAAGAAAAGGACTTGTACCGATTACTCAGACGAGAAAAAGATGGATGATGTGGGAATAGTGAATCAGGAAGTGCGGTGGATTAGCAAGGGTGTAATGACGGCAGCAATGAGGAGGATAAAGAGTGGAAAGGCGGGTTGAGTCCAGATGACGTACCTGTGGAGGCATGGAGATGTTTGGGAGAGATGGCAGTGGAGTTTTTAACTGGATTGTTTAACACAATGCTGGAAAGTGAGAGGATGCCTAAAGAGTTGAGAAGAAGTGTAGGAGGTGTGGAATTGTTTTGCCCTCTCCATATATATTTTTATCACTCTCTTGTGAGTCTGAAATAACGTTTGAATTCAACACACACATACATCACTTTCACACCTTGAAAATTTTATGGTGATTTTTATCAAAGCTGGCTTTGAGTCAACTTGGAGAAATTAAAAGTCTTTGAAACTACTTTTAAGTCAAAATGCAATTCTTTTTAGCCTTTCACCGAGCTTCATCAGCAGTTCTGCGTCACCAGCGCCGGTTCCAGGGCAACGCCAATGACGTCACGGCAGTCCCACGGTCAAAGAAGCTGAGTTACCCCACATCAGCCCTCTCAGAGAATTCATGAGAAAGAGATTGAGGTGGTTCAGGGTTTGATACTACCTGGCTCTCTATTTCTCAAGCTTCATTAACAACCTGAGCACATAATTTCAGCCCTCCCAGCATCCTTTCATCTTCCCTAGTTGCTACTTTTCCTATCCCATCTGCTTGGGCCTCATCACCTCCTCCCACCTCGATCATACCAGATTCCTATTACACATGCCACAACTTTCAATAAGCCATCACCAACTCTGACACAGTCAATAAACTGCTGGCTAAAGAAGTCAGAGAAACATTCAGGATCAGCCCATTTTCCAGCCCACCTTTCTCTACATTCACAATCAGTCCTATTAGCATAGCCACTAGGAAATATTACTGGAATGGCATTTCCTTCCTCGAGGATGACCACGTCACGAAGCCCAAAGCGTTCAGCTCTTCACAGACACAGCCCCTTCTACTTACTTTGGTGGTTATGAAAACACTTGTCCTTCACTTCAGACCTCCTAGCGATTTATCTGACTCCATACGCTGATAAAGTCCCACAATCCATGCTTCAACTGCCATTCTTTGGCTTTCTGCACTGCTGAGTTTACTGCCTCCAACCTTCACTATCATCCAAGTTGACGCGCTACCATGTCTGATATTTCCATTCATTCCACTGACACTCATTTACCACCTCAAATGCACAAGACTAACCAGTCCAGTATACCGCAACCTATCAACCTCTCACTTCTCAATTCATAGTCCATATGAATCCATAGGCAACTACGTGGACTCCTCCAAGTCCCTCTGTTTGTCACGGAGATGGGGAAAGTGGCTACATGCTTATGGTTTCACCATATCCTTCGTCGAATCTTATTCGAATCCAAAATTTCCACTGAACTATACTCTGGGCATTTGTTCTGTTACAACGCTTCCAGGCAAGGAATCCCAGACCACATAATTAAAATTCTTGACTGCTGGTCTTCTCCAGCATACCTTACTTACACCCGCAATGACCTAAATGACATAAGACGCCCACGTACACCTTTCTGTCTGAAATTCTTTCATAGGCTATGTACATCTACCCACGACGAGACGGATCCCCACTCAGAGTCTTGACTCCAATCGGTTCCCGACCATCTTCCCACCAGCAGACACCGGTCTTCCCTAAACTTCTATATCCAACAGCCACGGCACCTCAGTTGTGATAAATGAGGGAGGGCGAGCACTGATTGTTTTACTTTCCGCACCCAGATTTAACCTACCGGTCTGGGGATTGAACCAGCAACCTCCCAGTAACAAGCTCACTTCTCTAACCTTTGGGCACCACTGCCCAGTTCATGGACCAATTGGGTGCGGGGCACATATTACATACTTTTAAGGAGTGCTAGATTCTTTCAGTTTCATTTGTAACCTGAACCTGCTATTACAGATTACACCAGCCATGTTGCTGCAGCTAAGATGACTTTTTGAATATCTTTAGGCTATATAGGCTGTATAAAAGCCGGCCCTCATAAGACCAGCCCACAACGTCCCGATGGCCAGCCAGCGTCTGGTGATTAGTGTAGCAGTCTTAGGGCTAGATTTATTTGATTGGCAGCATTCTAACCAGCACAGATGAACCAAACAAGAGTTTTTCCCGCAACAAAAAGGTTAGGTGTGACCATTGCTTTAGTTAAAATGATTATACACAATGCCTGTCAGTTCTTCTGCCAAAATAAATCATATCCTGTCGACACCAGTAGTAAGGATGAATTATAAATGCTGTCATTTGAACTCAGCTTATGTAAACATCAGCAATGAGTAGAAACCTCTTTCTCTGGTTTACAGAGAAAGAGTGTAGAGAGGCTTGTTCTTGTGAAAACTGATCCACAGTGACCAATGTTCACTTGCATCATAAAAATGTCTGAGTCCTTGAGTGTGTGCAGCAGTCTAACAAATTACAATACACACAAACTGTAAGAAAACACAAAGCGACACACTCTCTTTTCTTCTCCTTCAATTAAGGTTGGCTTAATTACTTGCTCAATCCAAGCACCCTCGATGAGAAACCATTACAGAAGAAACACTGAACACAGACAAACACATTAGAGCATCAAACACATTACATTGCACTGCTCTCAAAACACTCACAGAGCAAGCGTTGCTTTTCATAGAGGCGGAAAAGGAAAGATTTCGAAAAAGCTGTACCTTTGCTTTTAGCTAGAAGAGCAGGAGGAGGCGGAGAGAGAACAGAGGATCCATAGCCGAAAGAGCCCGGACAGGGAGGAAGAAGAAGAAGAGACATAAAATCAATTTCTAGCAGACACCAAACATATCAATGTATATATGAATACATGAGGATAAATGAATGTACAAAAGCAACAATAATGCAATTGCACATCACAAAACACTTAAAACATGCAACGAAATCAGGTAGAACCTCTCAATGTCACAACAACATTGCCCTACAAAGACAGTGAGCGCTAATTACATAAATGGTCAAGTTGTAATTAAAAAAAGGGTTTAAAGTTTTCAGGCTGGCCAGATTGACATGCACTTTGTAATGCCTTCATTTTGTGAATTCTGGATTTGAATAATCTTCAGAAATTCAGAAAAGATGACAATGTATACCTATGTAGTTTGGTTTTTAGAAATAATCTTTATTTTGAATATTTACATTTGATAATTTAAATGTACCCATTTTGCCTTGTGTTCATTTGTCTATTTTTTAATCTTTATATTAAATTATTAATGTCCTATATTTGATTTATGTTGTGTATAGCTCATTTTAAATTAGCCAAATTGATTGTATTAGTGCTAATCAGGGTTGGGAGGGTTAGTTTAAAAACGTATTACAGGTAATTACTAATTACTTATTCAAAATATGATCAGTAATGTAATCCAGATACCACAATATCAAAGTAATGTCACCTGATTGCTTTTAGTTACTTTTGGATTACTTCAATACCAAATACATAAAGACAAGAGAGTATCAAAGATGCGTTGTCTGCTTAGTGTATTTTTAAAGAAACATACAATAATAAAATCTCCCATTACCATTAAATCCAAATAGATGTTTTAAATGTTTTATATGATATGCCCTGCACTGTACGTCACCAATATGCCACAACCTGTCCCATCAGTATTATTCCACAGTAAGTATTCTTGATGATATTTTAGAGTTAGTCATTTCCTGGAAAGTTATTTTAAAATGTTGATGACTCATCCTGCACTGGGGAGCGTTTATTAATTTCGTGTCCAATGAAAAGCTTTCTCAATTTTTATGAGGCTGCAGTGTTTCTGGGGGCCAACCGGGCTCCACTGATTACTGTGCATATACACAACTTTATTCACTGACTTTGGTGAAGATGGATCATATTTGATGGAGAAAACATTTTCTGTTCTTCTCTCTGATGTCGCCCTGCTGCTCTGCCTCAAAGCGGTGGAAGCCGGATCCGGGTGAGCGAGCAACAAAACCGCACTCATCAGCCTCCCAGTAAACGCGGCATGAACAGGACTGAACACAGCCCCCAAACACCAACAGAGGCTTTACAAAGCATCTCGATGGACATAAGACCTTGATGGATAGCTTTACTTTCTGCTAAACCGCTAACGTGAACTGTACCTCATCTGTCTGTATCTGTAGCTAATTAGCTTCACTCACTGGGAGCTGGAAGTCTGAAGACAGTCCACACAGAGTCTGCATGACAGGGTGGGGGCGTAACACACATTCAACTACTGTTAAGGCTCTTAATCAAGTACCTATTCCCCATGTTCAGGTTTATGAATCACAAAAAATTGGTGTAAAGAAAGAAGATGTTTTGTCTCTAACATTGTTGTCCATTTATGCTATTCAAATGACAGCTTCTAGTTTGAGAGTTAAATATGCGCATGATGCAGTTTTACTTGCCGAACATTAAAACAATCTGTAGTTTATGCTGAACATGCTGGGCGGGCACATGACATTTAAAAAGGCGCAGTCAGTCCGTAGCTTTGGAATAGAAATGTAATTGTGACATTTCACATTGTCATTGAAATCCTTATTTTATTTCTCATTTTGCAGAACACGTTACTTTGAGATATTCAGGAGATTCAGAACAAAATGTTTCTCATGTATAGAGAAAAACTCTGTTAAAACGTAAAAAATTAATAGCCGAGGCTTTTATTTTCTTCAATAACTGAACTAAACCTGCCTTAATTTGGGACAGGTGTCTATATGGGACAGGTCTTTTACCTTTCGCACAAAACTCTAGCGCAGCATAGATGGGAAATACTATCAAATTGTTCATTTAAACCATGAATGTTAATAGTATAAAAATTAGGCGAATAACATCAATTATGAATCATTCATTTCAATTATGAATGAAGTTCACAACTTGGATTAATTTTTATGAAAAAAAAATTCATTATTTTGACCATTGGACCCTTACTCTCACAGTTTGCCTGTTAATCCCTTCCTGCAGCCACACACTCATCCCAAGCCCTCTGCATCACTGTCTCCATCAGGGGTCTCATTTATAAACGGTGCAATCAATCAATTAATAGGCTACTTGCATGCAGAGTAATTTCCAGGAGGACAGATTACATTTAAAATGATGATATTTTTGTAAAAAATAACACACTGTTTTATTAAGTAAATCTTTCAGCTTATGTCATTTACAACAAGTCATATTTCTTTTAACTCATCGGCAGCCTCGTTAAGTGAGTGGACTGTTTGTGTAGCCTAAATAAAGGTTTAAAGTAGAATGCAATTAGTTTTAGTTTATTGGTTGGTTAGAATTACAACATCAAGACTGGTATAAGATTACTGTGACACTTAATCTTCTAAATCGTGTGAATTCCATTTGTGCCAGAGGCTAAAGCGGCATGTTGCTCTGCTAAATTAGGCTTGGCTTCTTACCTTTTAACAATACTGTAAGGAGATGCTAATTATTCTCCATCAGAACTACATTTAGGTAGGCTGCTACCTGTTTGTTTAAAATAAATAACCATGATGTTTGTTGATTAAAATATCTTTTTCAATTAGAATAAACTGGGAAAAACAGTGAGTTGTAGCTATCTCACTAGGTAGCTTTAACTTAAAATAGCTCTCTTCTTGAGGCCAACGATTAAGGACTACAGTTACTATAGTATGACTTTCCTGCTAATTTTACATTTTGTTTCCTTGGAATGTACATACTTCTATATGTAAAAGGGCTGCCCCCTAATAGTCGAGTAAACCGTATGTCAGTGAGAAGAGTGCAGAAAAAACACAACACCACCTCAAACTCCATTCGGGAGCTGCGCCTTGTCACCGGGACGAAGGTATCAGGAGATTGTTGCAACACGGACCTTTTCTCTTGTAACACAGAAGTCACTTACTGGAACGTACTGCTGCTAACTCTAGCTGCCGTTTGCTAGTTAGCTCAGTTGTCGGTCCTACTATTCTACCCAGACTTGGAGCTCAGAGTAGCAGAGGGGGAGTGTTACTGTTTGATTACAACACCAGCACAGGAGCTTTGGACCGCCGGGAGGAGGAGGTTTTCAGGAACGGGACGAGGGATCGAGTGGGGAATGCTGCCAGGGAGCATATAATTATATAATTGTTTTGATATTTTTTTTTTAAATACAACAAATAGCAGATGGCAGTCTTTGCAACAGTGTTTTGACCAAATGTGTAGTTAATGTGTTTGGCTTCGTAGGGCAGTATATAACATAATATATATAAGAATAATAAAATCACGTATTTGACAATGTATATAGAACCATGCACTTGCATATACATTCCACACCAACACCAAAACATGCTGCTCCAAACTAGAATCACAAACAAAACCAAGATATGATAGAAAAGAGGAAAGGAAAAGCATACCTTGTTCTGCCATCATATGTGCAAGGCCTTGATAAGATAAAAGAGAAGGAAGGGAAATAGTGAAAGAGAACACTTAGTTTCAATACTCTTTAGTATTGTGATGATACATATTTTTCCCCAAGAGGGAAAGCATGACATCAGAACACACAAACAGGTGACACAAGTTTCCTATGGCTGAGCAGGAGGCTTCTTCATAAGGAATTCCAGCATGTCTGTAGAAGTGATAGCCTCACAGACCTCACAATCACTGACCTGCTGTATGGACCTAAACCTGCAGCAATTGATATGACACAGAGCAACAAATTCATGAATATGGAGTCATATTTCTGACCAAAATAGACTCTTTGTTTTAGGTCTCTACCATCTCCTATCTGACTTTTTAACTGCTAAAAGATCCACTATGTTCACCAGCTAATCTCTGTCTGCTGTTTGGTCCTGGTGAGGTCGTGTACAGTGGGACAGCTTTTTCAGCGGTCTGCTGTGACCAAAAACGACGCCACGAGAGCCATGAGTGAACAGTTTAAACTCATGATGCTCCATAAAGTCCGAAGGAACAGCAGATTCAGGTGGTCGTTCTCTGTAGGGTCAACACGACAAGCAACCCACTTCACATTGTCATTTGAGACATTGTTATTAAGAAAATATCAATTACAGTCGCTTTAACAATGATCTTGTAGTGATTTGATTTACAAAGTAATTTATTATATCTTATTGTAAATTGAGAGGAGGGTAAAAAAATAATTTAACCTACACCTGAATCAGTTCTCCAGCTCTAACAGATGTTAAAGCTGTCCAAAAAAAACATCAGATCTGTGTGGAGCGATAAGGAGATTGTAACCTTCCTCAAATGTATACATGAAACAATGTCTTCCAGTGATTCAAGCTCTTTCAATTAAGTAATCTTGTGGGTGAAAACATGCATTCGTTTGCATTTTCTTTTGCAGATTCTTTCAATATATCCAGTGCGAATGGGTGAATTCTATCCATTTGAATAATAATCTATAATAACTTTTAAATTTATAAAATAATAAATTTGTAAAATAAGCTTTAATAATCACTTTCCAGGTACATTTTCTTTCCAGGTAAGTACTGTTTCCTTGCCCAGTCAGTCTAGTGTGTCATTCTGTTAAACCCTGATGTAGCAGGGAGTCTACCTTTTAAGCTGGAGTGGTTCACGGTAGTCTGACAGTGCAGAATCAACAAGCCCATACTATGTTTGTATTGCCCTAACCTGTCTGAAATCTGCAGCTATACAAATAATTGCCATATATTTACATTGTGTTTTATTTTTTCCCCATTTTAACTCACCTGGCATATTGTTGACCTCTGAAATAGAGGGAGACAGAGAAAACAAGCAAACAAAGCCAGCATTAGAAACACTCTTCTTACTTGCATGTTGACTGTCATGCAATAATTTCACAACAAATTGTACATACAAAGGGCTGGCAGTGGGCACAGCCATGTGTATGTTCTTTACAATGCAGAAGGTTTCAGCAATGACAAGTTAAACCATCATTCCGTCCCATTAGATGAAATTCAGACAGAAATATCCAGCGTGAAGAAAAAGACATTTCTTCCCTGCATGTATAAACACACTAGTGAGAAGCACACTTTAATATTTTTGGTATCTTTCAGTACAGCCATGTTAATTCATTTCATCAATATTTGCAGGACTTTTGCTAAATCATAGTAATCAAAACATAAAGTTAACAAAAAAAAACTAAAGATAAAATAAAGTTCAACCTTTAAGTGATTTCTGACATTTGTGGACAAAGTTCAAGGACTGAAAGAACAAACCTACAGATTTAAAAGGTCTGCATTCCAGTCCCTAGAGTCTGAAATGTTGTCCAAAGTGTTGAGACCATACTGATGATTTTGCTTTTCTTAGAGTCACAGTGGTAATGGAGCAAAAGGATAAAGATTGTTAAAGCCATGGGGCCAACATCAAACATCCAGGATTCCCCTGGAAACAATGAATCTCCACAACACAACGGTAGGAAAATCTGACCACATTTTATATCGCTTTTGTCATATTTAAAGTGGTAGACAAGTGGACATTTTGACCTGAGGGTGGCACTAGATAAATTGTCTGGGGTCAAAAAAACGTGTGTCAGCTTTGCTCCAACATGAAGAGAGTTGATCAAATGGTCATGTGGGAAAGCAAGGCTGGGTGATGTGCACGCATGTCTTGTTAAAGCTTCAGTTCCTCAACGACCTTACTGAAGATGTTGATTTATTAGAGATTTTTATAGACACATATACATACATACAAAATAATAGTGGAGGCTGTTTTGAGGAGCGGTGTATTGTGGCTTTCAGCGTGGATATACACAAACATGTGGGATTGTATTGTTCTCTTCGTGAGAACCAGTTTCAGTTTTGAACCACTATAGTGAGGACATTTTGGCTGGTCTTCATTATTTCAAAAGGACTGAAGGTTTAGACTTGGTTTAAAGGTTCAGGTTAGAGTTAGGGCTAGGTAAGGTTAAAATAAGTAATATAAAACTCCTAACTATAATTTTTTTTAATATTTAAACCGGGCACTTAACACTTTAGTCTTAAAACTAAATGTACTCACCAGAGAAAGTGAACAGCCAACTCCTAATAAGCTTTTTCAACGGTGCTGCTTAAATTTACACAGTGCCGTGGGTACGAGTCACTCTAGCCTGATTGCCAGGTTGCCATGGTATAGTGAACATTATATTGTATTGAAGAAGACATGAAACTAGGGATTGAGACCATAAACTCATCAGGAAAGTGTTTAATGAGGTAATAAATCAGGTGAGAAGAAGCCTCATTGTGCCATTATTTCTAATGGAGCCAGACTTCTTTCTGCAACCAGAAGAGTCGCCCTCTGCTGGCCGTTCAATAGAATACAGGTTTAAGGGCTTCCAACTTGGTGCAATCGCTATAATTATGGTCCGGTTCAGTTCAGGCAAATAAAATTACTTGTTTATGGTTGGGAAAGATTACAACAAACTATGTTGACTGCTGGCAGGACTATATTAATACAGCAGTCCACCTTTTCCCTATGAGGTGTTGCACCAGATAGACATTCACTCCCAGAACATATAGTTGCTTGTCAAAATGACCAATGCTGTAATTTTTGCTGAGAACGACAGAAGGGATTACTGGGGGCAGAGTAGATAAAAGATGGAGAGATCAGATTAACAAATTCATCTTCTAGCTCTCTCTCCTACTCGTCATTCAAAGCCCAGTCTGTCCTGATGATCAGCTGTATTCACTTGCCCTCCCACCTGCTCCATCATTATTTTGTTCTCTATCTTGACCCATTTCCTTTGGCAATTTACTGCCCCTGTGTTGTGCCTCTGTTTCTATCTCTTACTCTCTCACACACACACCAAAGTAATCAGGCTTTGATGTGTGTGTATGCACAGAGAGAGGCAAGCGAACACATACATATACTGTATTTAATAAGGTACCAACCAGTCAACAAACCAATCGAATGCTCACGGGTACAATTCCCAGTTGCAAGCTAGCCAGCATTTAACTCAATGCAATTACTGTATCAGGGGGCTCTGAAACATTTTTTTCCTGTGTTATGAATGTAGCAAATATACATATCCTCCAGCTCTCCTCTGAAGTTCCCCCTAAAAATAAAATCCAATCAGATCACCATTCTTTGGGGTGACTCACCGTCGCTTTGACAAACTTATTTATTCATCAGTGGACACATAATCTAGGTAAGAGTATGACTCGCTCTTTTAATTCAATACCCAAAAGGTGAGGCAAGGATAGCGAGGGATTACGGCTCAAAGTGGATTACTTAAAGGGATGATTCATGATGTGGTGGATAAATTGGGAGAGTGTAGTGATTAATATGCATTTCAAATTCTACTTTCTTTCATCACTGCTTACCAGATTGTTTTATACATGTTATTAACATGGCAGGTAAACCAGTATATGAATCATTATTTTAACAGCTATAACCTCCTTGCTGACTGATTTCACCAGCAGCTATGTTTCACGTTGATATGAGCATACGGGCGGCTGCAGAAACAGTCAGGGAGGGCGGCTAAGCCATCTGCTCACGTTGTGGTGTAAATGGCATACAGCTGATAGATCGTCGGCTGGGTGACAGCAGCATAGTGCTGAGACTTGAGACAGACTGAAAGGGGTTGTTTTTTCTAGTTTCTGCACGACAAACAGAGGTGTTGTGAAAGTGAAATACTGAGTTTATAGTGTCTTTGAACTAAAGAAAAAATACCCATATTATTTTCTACATCAGTCCAGCCACCGTGGTTGGAGAAGCTAGGTTTCGTGTATTTTTTTTAAAGGAAGATTCCTATTACACAATATTTGTTCCTATTAACTAGCAATGTAACAATTCTTTACTGGAGGTACATGTAGCAATCACATAAAAACATTTCTATCTAACTGGTTAGCAAAACATTGTAATCAAGAATTGTTAATCTGTGTAATTTGTAGTGGTGCAAGGGTCCATGATGTTTCCTTAAGTTTAACTAAGTACTTATTTTAACCCAAACCATGATCTTTCCCTAAACCAAATCTTAACCACAGTGCTGTAAGATCAGAGAATAGATTTATTTCTCAATAGTGATTTGATGAAACAGTTTTCAGTGGGAGACTTATTGATTGTGAACTGTGCAACATATCTGTCTAGATTCAGATAGTTTGGCCTAAAGAAAGCATAATTTGGTAGCACTTTACAGCTCTGTAATAACATGGTAATAGTGGAGGAATAGTTTGATACTAAAGAGGTCATAATTAAGAGATATTCTGTAATTATGAAAGTAATTGCTAGGAAATAGCTTAGTAGTAACAATGGGTGTATCAGTTAATATTAGACTGATATTTAACAGGATAATAAAGGGGCAAACACAAAGGGTAATAAACACATTAAAAGAATTATTAAAACACTATATACAAAAGAGAACGGTAAATACGCACAAAGCCTGAATGTGAAAAGTGAACTGTAATGTTGAGTTGACAGGAAGTAAATAGATGTGCAGTTCGTAAATTAATATATGTCACACTACACTCTGCAAGTAGAGAATATTACCATGAAATTCAAATGAAAAATAAGGTAGTTTAGCATTTTGCCGCTCTGACTCATAGTTATTATATAAAAGCTAACAAGTATTTCCAGGTAACAAGTCACTGCGCTACACTTAAAATTGATAATTACTATATTATAATGTAATAATAATCAATGATCATAAAAATAATCAAACATTCCTTTTGGTTGTAAGGTGATACTGTACAGAGTTTCACTTCCAAGTATTTTCATGGCGTTCATTTTCATTGCAAAAAAGCCAACCTATATTACTTTATCATTATCAGGTTATTATACCATTAATGTCACCCTGTTTCCATATACCACCATATTTCTATCCAAATATTGAACTTGTATATTGTTTGACAGTTGCCATATTGTTACAACATATTACTATTATATTACTGAGTAGTTCTGGCTCGTTGCTTTCTTTAAATGTGCTTCCCCATTATTACCCTTTGTGTTTGTCTCCATTTGGTCACATCAATTTAGTGTCTATGTGACTTATTGGGACAAAATTTTCTAAAACTGGTCTAGCATTGAAGGTACAGCAGGCGGTAGGCAGCAGAAAAAGTATGTCCACTAAAGTGCTTGTTTTTGCCACTGACAGGCTCCGAATGTTATTGTGTCTGACAACATTATGGAAAGGATCCTTGTTTCTTTAAAGTTTAACCAGAAACCGTCGTTATATTGCTCTCGTTCAAAGCCACCAAACTCCAGTGATTAAAAGTCATTTTACTCTGCTGCTCTCTCAGTCTGTTATTTTTTGTGTTCGTGTGATTTTGATGGGGTATTTTTATTTGTGTTATTGTGAGACTTTGGGGTTTTAAAAGATTAAAACCACTAAGAGATCGAGGCAGCGAGGTAAAATTATGGGTTTTGACAAGGGAGTCTGGTGGCTTTGACGAGGCAATACAGCGACCGTTTCTGGTTAAACAAAAATGATCTTGTATGTATGAATAGGAGGTTTGTCCCCAGCAAATGCAACACATTCTCACTCCAGACTCATCACAAATTGACGCTTGGTTAATGACCTTTGGCACTGCTTTGCAACGCCCTGGGTACCCCTTTTGCGTCATTTTTAGACGTTTAAGGCTTCACGGTCAAGTTAGCAACTCTTAGCAACAACAAATATGCAACGTCCCGGTAAAGTTAGCAACAATAAATGTGCCTGGTTAGACTGCTAGCATTTCAAAACATCGCCAAAATTCACGTTATTAAAGTCGTGAAACGTTGCAATTTGGTGAGGTTTAGGCACAACAAGTACTTGGTTAGGGTTAGGAAAAGATCATGGTTTGGGTTAAAATATGTAGGTCAGTTAACACTTGCGTAACTTACGCAATTTACGTAACTCTCATAACTACAATAAAAATATTTAATGCTGACTATTTGTTTCACACAGGACACGAACCCTGGTCTCCTGGTTTAAAGTCGGGGTTCTGGCCCTCCATCAACCCCAACCACCTCCTTACTCAGTCTTTTGTGTTAAATATATTCCCGTCAAAAACTGACGCTACAGGGCTTCCCCCACTGCACTGAACTATGAAGTTATAGGGATCCCCTATGCGTAACAAACTGATGCCGATGGGTATTGATTATGCGTCGATGTGACGAGTCAGGGAGTGAGAACAGGTTGACAAACGTATTACTACTTCTTTAATCCTAAGCGTACAAATGACGCCAGCCCTGTTAGTTGCTCAAGGGAAGCAGCCTGATCTGGAGCTTTTTCACTGGCTCTCTCTAACATCATCAATTCTACTCATCAGACTCAGCAATTCTGCTAGTTTTTCACTCCCTCTGACTCAATCAATTAATCATTAATTAAAGAAAGCAGGAGTTCACAGTCTTGTTTGCACTGGTCTTAATCGGATATTGATAAACTGGCACAGCAGTATGCATACAGTACTTTCTCTACGGGTATTTAAACAGCTGGAACCTATGGAAGGTTTAAACTCTTTAGATTGACAAAAAACAGGATTTGCAGAAATCCACTGGTTGATTTTGCGGGGAGGAAAAATTCACTAAAAACGACTGAGGTCTGCAAGGTACTTCTCCTTCAACATACCTTCCTATTTTAGCATAATGAAGTGTATGGGCACATCACGGCTGTTCCAACATGTGGCCACAGGTCAGAAGTGGCCACCTGCATGTTTCTCAACATGTCATGGAACATAAGCATATGAGAAGGGTGTTATTTGTCCTACCACTGTGTGGGAGCCGTGGCATACAAAGGGAAAATAGTTCACAAAAATTGCAGTGTTTTAACCTTCAAGGTCTTCATCAAGTATACATTTTACAATAACTCATACATATGGTGAGTATCTTATTGTCCATTCCAGTATTTGCAGTATTTGTATACTTAAATTTTACTACTTTTAGAAAAATAAATTTGCCCGACAGGATTGATCTTGGAGTGTGTTCATGAGCTTTTAAGTCATAATGTGGAAAGACCTGGGAGATTGTGGGTTGATTCCTGTTTGAGCCTGACATTTAGCGCAGTGTGACATCCTCTGATGTTGGCAGACCTCTAGCAAAGGGCATGGATAACCAGTGTATTTTGTTGTTTAATTTGAAGGACTTAATGTTGGAAACAAAAAGTTACAGAAAACCGAAGCAAACTATGGAAGCCCTGAGAGCCTAGTGAAAAAAATAATTCTGATATCCATTTTCTAAATCTGATCTTAATAGTTCTCTCTCATGCGTGTATGACTTTGGAATATATTAGTTTTAAAAAGAGAGAAATCAGAGAATGGTACAACATAAATATGTTGTTGTACTGATGGAAGTGGTACTGTATAGGTGATTCCACCCCTAATCAGTGTTATCCTTTGAGAATCTGACTTACATTTTTTGCCCTTATTTTATATTTGGATTTGATATTTGAATTCTAACATGTGAATTTACATAATATAGTGCCTACATTTTTTAGTTCAGAATAAAATAGCACCAGGTAAATACAGAGAGACACTGTGTCACAGAAAACATAGAACAAGATTCTGTACAGCAGTTTTCCTTCCTCCACATCATTCACAGACTTATGGGATATTTTTCACTTTGTGTTTACAGTTTGTATTTTAAATATTTAACAACTGAAACAATGTGACTTTTTCTCAGTATCTCAAAATCATTTTAAAACCATGTAAATACACCTTTCATCAATACAGTTCATGTTTTGCAGACTTTTAGTCATGTCATATTCTCTCCCTGATGTATTCAAAAAAGCAGGTACTTCACCAGTTCACCTTAGCCAGCTTCATTAAGCATGTTATTTATCCCATAGGAATCAACAATTAAGATTCTCCCAGGGCTGCTTGAGTTCCCTGCTTCCACTCACCTATCACTGCCTTGCAGGAGGCAGAGGGAAATTAACACTGGGGAACGGTTCCCAATGTGGGGGTTGTAAATCAAGGTTGGGAAAAGCAACCTACAAGGGTCACCATTGCCCTTACTGAGTCACACATGACAGTGCTGAGGAGCTAGAGGGTGGTGAGGTGGTGCCTACTGATGTTGGTTGCCCTAAGGTCACAGTTTCCCCCTTGACCCATATTGGTCTCCCACAGCATTTTATAGTGGTGGCGCCCATTCTGCCGTCAGAATTTCTATGAACAAAATTCTATAATGTAGCATAATAGTAGGCTTATTAAGTGTCAGGGGAAACCAGCAGTGGTGCTACATGACACGGCAAAGGCCACAGATTTATCCACAGCACTTACCAGCTCTGCTAACCAGCTTCCTGGGGGAAACATTTATATACCTTGAACATAATAGATGAATCCCATGGTCCCCATAGGATTAATTCTATGCAAAATCATCAGTATGTCTCTCTGTCAAACACTTTCATAATATGGGGTGTAATGAACCTGCCATCCTAATATTAGACTTTTAGGCCTTTAGTTTCACAGCAGTGTTGGCAGGAAAACCAGGGGCAGTATGTGCAAAGCCAGCAGTAATGAGACTAAAAAAAAGTGGCGCTAATAAATCATCATCAGTGTGGGTTGTGCCTCTACCAGACAAATCAGCTACTGATATCACGAACTTCACCACAGTTTGACTGAAGTACAGCCAAATTTCACTTCATGCTGTGGGACCACCACCAGCTGGAGAACACACACTGCTGTGAAACTGGAAGCCTTAACCTTGTCTAATCAAAGAGCATAGAAAGAGCCTTTGACATTAGGTAAAACAATGAACTTTATCAAAGCAGTTGATTAGAGGATCCGAGAGACTTGGATGATCCTGCTCTGTGTGTCAGTCAGCAGCCAGCAGCTGCAGCAAGTCCTCTAATTACCTGATGTTGTGACAAAAGTACCGGCTGAGCTTGCAATATTTCTTTAATACTTTACGCATGTTTTCTGCTGTTCTCATGTGTCTGCAGTGAAAGACAACTAAAAGAGAGGAACTGAAGCGTAAACATTTCTACTCCCGAAGCCCACCATGTCAGTTAAATGCCATCCGATCAATCAGCTGAGCAAAAGCAGAGCAGACTGGCCACCACAAAGACGCAGAGAAGAGGAAAAGCACAGACACGCCCCACCCCATCCTCTCCTTTATTTGAAACACCTGCAGCAATAGATAAAAAACCTAATCTTTAAATTTCAGATTGCCCTGCCTTTTGTTTGTGTGCCAGGGATTTGGCATCAGCCCAAATGGGATGTAAATTCCATATTTGTGAGAGGTTTGGAAGAGCTCTCAAAAGTCAAACAAAAATTGCAGACATACAACATATTAAAACAAATTACCACTGATCTGAATTCATTAAATGGAAACAAAGAGTTCAGTGACTTTCTCATCTAAGTGCCATTGATTATCTCATAAGGAGTCCAATTGTGTACTCCTCAGCTCCTGGAAGCCTGAAGTATGTATACTGACTGTGAATAATGAAGTACATGACGAGGGTTTTTTTCAAAAGCAGAGGTGTCTCGATGCATTTCATGTGCTAACTGCATCTTCACCAATTGCCACAACAAAACAGGCATTATCACAGAATGTTCTGCACTAAAGATTTATCAAATCAAAAGAAATCCAGGTTTCAGCATAAAGCAAGTGAAAGTGCCTGCAGGGACGAAATGCGTGGCAGGGAATGAGTAAAGGCTTTTCTTTTAATAGGAATCAATTTTGGTCTGGGTACAGCCAGCTGTAGAGCGATTGAAACACAGCTTTGGCAAAATTGTAAGCACAAAAGGATGTGATATAAAACACCTGCCATCTCATGATTGGGTGAAGAAAGGGGGCTCAGGAGGCCCCATTCTCCCTATAGGCGTCCTTATCACTGCCTGCAGGACCAATGTCATTAACCTGAACCTCACTGGCTAACCGTGCTCAGATTAGCTTTCTGATTTTACAGCTCACACACACAAACACAATAGCAATCACTGGGAGAGCCAAGCAAATCCACAAAGTCAAACTGCCTCAGAGCCAAGACACCTGGTGTAATAGCAAAAACAATCCTTATAGAGAATTAAAAAAGCCAAGTTCTGTGAAGAATACTGAAAACTTCAAAATCATGACATTGGTCTTTAACATGCCTATAAGGTGACAAATTAATTCAGGTGAAATCACCTCAATCATCGCACAAGGGAAAAACAACCAAATCAAATATGCTTTGTCTAAGCTGGACGAGTTCTGCTCTCCAAATGTGAAAGAACACTCAGTCAAGCCATTTTTTTCCGATAAATTATTTGGATGCCCCCCCGCCATTTCCCTTAGTACTTCATTAGCTTTAACTGGCTTTGGTCCAAGGCCTGTGATTTACTGGCCACGTTTCTAATTTGTTTTGATTCAAATCAAGCCCCCAGGAACAGCAATGGATTGTGAGGCAATTTTGGAATAATGGCTTCAGTTGGAAACGCAATAAATACAAATTTTAAACAGAACTGAGCAAAAATCAAAGTTGAAGTGAGTGAGTGTTTCACAGTTGGAGTCCTGCCAAAGTCTGTCTGGGTGAATGACAGCATTGTCAGAAACTTTAAAAGGTAAATGGCTAAATGCATACTTTACCTTCACTGCAGAAGCGGCCCATGTATTCTGTTTTGGAACAGTCACAGACCGGCTCTCCATCCACCACTGAACACGTACCGCCATTTTCGCATGGGTTCACAGTGCACCACCCTTCTGACTCTAGGGGCACCTTAAGGCTTCCAGGAACAGGGCTGTGAGATGCCATATTTGAGGTCTGTAATTGTGCCCTGAAGGGCTGCATGTTTCGCACGGTAGGCAGTGTGAGCGCACCGCTGCGGATATCCTGAGGCACTCCACCCAGGAACAGGTTGCTGACTATTTTCATGAACAGACGCTGAGGCCGCACTTCATCTGCTTTGGCCTGGCCATCTAGTACCAGCACTGTGCGCAGGTTATACCTACTTAGAGTGGCAAAATGCCAGCTGCCATCATCCACCCGTCTGTCAGACACCACTGTCGTCTCAGCACAGTCAATGCTGAAACGCAGCTGCAGTCGCCCCTCCACTACCGACAGCTGCAGAAAGTCACAGTAGCCTCCATCATCAAAGTACAACAGCAGCGCCTCAGAGGCCTCTGTCTTGAACTGGAAGCTGAGGTCACCGCGGGTGCTGGCGTCCCAGCGGAGGTAGCGTGCCCACTGACCTGGTATACCTAAAAATTCCAGTCCCAGACATGTGCTGAGGAACACTTGCAGCTTGATAGAAAAGCCTACAAGATCCATAGCTGCAAAAAAATTTATTAATCCAAGAAGGTGTCTGATGGGAATTCAAATCAGATTGAAATCTTAGGGTGGTTACACGGAATTTCAGGGATCCACAGTGTCCACAATATGTACCGAAGTATATTAAGATAAATATTCTCATAAAAATATCTTTTAAAAAGGGAAAAGGGCAGTAGCAAGATAACAGTCGTTGTGGTTAACAGTCTTAAGGTCAATCACATCAATAAGATGTCCAGTAGTAATGGAGGAATTGTTGTTTTCCTCCTATGGGTTACAGAGAAGACCGACAGAGGGGGACAGGAGGAGGTGGTGATGTTTTTTACACTTCAGAACAGATGTTTTCAAGACTCATGGTGCAAGGTCTGATGGAATGGACTTCTCTGGATATCAGGGTGAGTGGAATTTCCTCCTTCATGTTGTCCGCTGGGAAATGGAGTTGACAAGGGATCCACTGGCCTCTCAGTTCTACACTGTCAGAAAAAGAGAGGCAAAGAGTTATGATGGGTACATCAGAATTAATTTGACTGAAACGAACACATCTTTGGGTGCTTTCCTGCAGTTAAACCCAATGATAGCAGCACATGACATGAATGCGGACAATATAAATAATAAGCTAGTGACAAGTGAAGAAGGTAACCTGGGAGAAAAAAAGCCTCAAGTATCAGTACTCAAGGTTTCATTTAATGTAATTTTACAACACAAGGTTGTATAACAAGTTTACATTTGTAGTTCCTTGTGCTACACACAAAAATCACCCGCTGTAGAGCCCTCCTGTCCTGGGCAATGCACTTCTCATGCCAGTTTGTGATGTTTCCAGTCAGGATGCTTTCTATTGCTCCTCTGTAAAAGCTGACAAGGGAACTTTGCTGTCTGAGCTGGAGATGAACATGACAGGTTCTTTGTAAGCTACCCTGAAACTGTTAACCTGCTCCATCCCAGCTCCACTGGTATAGACAGGATCACTACATGATCAACACATTTGTTGATTTATCATGCTACTGTTGATACGGGGTGCCTATTCCTCTGCCTCCTTTAGCGTCTATGGTATATGTAATAAATGCAGTTTATTTGTCACGTTGGAGGTGAGGCTTAGAGAATTGGAAATGCGGCTACGCACCATGGAAACTCAATCGTTAGCTGCTGTCGTTAGCCTGCCCCAGTGGCCAGTGCGGACCGACCAGATGTTTCATCTGTTTGCAGTTCCCAGCAGCTCCTGAGCAGCCACGAAACTAGGGAGCCTGGGTAAATGTCAGAAGGGGGCATAGCCTTAACCATAAGCCCACAGTTTCACTACCAACCTGTTCACGTTTCTAACATTTTCACCCTACTCAGCGACACACCTGCTGAAAAACCAACTCTGTTTATGGGCAGTTCTATCTTGAAAAACGTCAAGTTAATGACACCAACAACTATAGTCAAATGCACTTCTGGGGCCAGTGCGAGCAACATGGAATCCTATTTAAAGCTGCTAGCTAAGGATATGTGTAGCAGTAGAATGTATTATAGTAAGATTGTTATTCACATTGGTGGTAATGACTCCCGATTAAATTTAATGTTGAGTCGGTGAGCACGTATGCAAAGACGACGTCGGACTCAGTATTAGAGCAGTTACCTACCCAAAACCCCATAGTGACGGTGTC